TTTATTTAGTAACATTTTATATAGTAGCCTATAACTAGGTTGTTTACTAGGCTTAAAAGTTATTTAGTAATTATATAAATGTTATATTAAAAGCTTATTAGACTTATCTTAAAAAAAGACATATAATAAGTTATAGTAGTTTTAAAAAACTATTATTCTTAAGTTAGTATGTTTTTAGAGAGCTAAAGCTTAGTCTATATTAGAAATTATAACTGTGTAGATTTTGTAATCTAGTTATTAAGCTAGGGTTATAAATAAGGCAGGTCTTATATAGCAGATGTCTATCTGCTGTTTAAGTCCTAGTTTATGTTTAAATTAAGTAGGTAAAAGTTTTTTAAAGGCTTTCTTTTCTTTAAGTTTAAGCAGTTATTAAATTATTTTATATAGCCTATTTTAGTAAAAGGCCTAGCTTATTAGCCTTACTTAAGTAGTTTTTTTTTAAGTTATTAAAAAGTAGGTCTAAAAACCTTTTATATTAAGTGCTATTTAAGTGTTGTTTAGGTGTAAGCATAAGCATATATCTTAGCATTAAAAAAAGTTAAAGTTTAAAACTTACTTTTAGTAATTAAAAGTAACTTTATGCTAATATAGCTATAGTTGTTCTAAAATTAGGTTATAATATCTTATGTTTATTATATAAAGTTTAATCTACTTTTTATAGTGTTAGTAAGTAATTATAATAGTTATAGTATAAGAGATAGAACCTTCTTTAAGTTGTTTTCTATTAAATTTAGTTAAGTAAATTATTTAGGTAAGTAGTGTTAATTAAAGATTTAGTTTATATGCTAGTTTTTTATTAATATAACCTATGCTATTTACTTCTAAGTTAATAAGAGCCTGTATTAAGGCTAATATAGTTCTTTATTATAAATATACAAAAATATTAACTTAGTACTTTTAGTTATTAGTAGGGGACTTAGCCTATAAGTTAGTAAAGATCTAGTGTTAAATTAGTCCTAAAGGGCAACTTAGCCCTAAAATAAGCCTTTTTATAGGCTTCTACTGCTATAGCTGCAGCTATGTTAAAAGTAGCAAAGAAAATTAAAGCTTAAATATAAGTTAAAGCCCTTATAAAAATAAAATTAAAATAGTAAAGATTTTTAATAAGTGCTAGCAGCGCTACTTATGTAGACTTAAAAAAAGGGAATAAAGCAGTTTTAAAAAATATAACTATGCTTACTACACTTAAAGCATTAACTTTTTTTTTTATAATTTTTACACTTTTTAGAACTAACTAGAGCATAATTTAAATTAATTTTTATTATATTAAAGTCCTTATTTATAACTACGCTAGTTTAGGGGCGTATTAGGGCTTATATAAAGAGGAACCTTATGTTATTATTATAGGTAGCAATTAGGTTTACATACATGTTAAGGTTATTTAAAAGGGGTTCTTCTACTATAGCATGTTACAGTTTAGTTAAGAGGGAGTTATATAAAGCTGTAATTAGACCTATCTTATTTAGGCCTATATTAAATGCAAGTTAGTAGAACTTAGTAAAGTATAAAGTAAAGCTTTTTTTTTTTTATTATAAAGTGTTTAAGTAACTTAGAGCTGTTAACTTTTTATTTAAGTTTTTATAAGTTACTTATAAAAACACTATAAATTAATTTAAGTTAATAATATCTTTATTTATTAGTAAGTTAATTAAGGCTGTTATATTATAGTTAAGTTAAAAGTAGGTATATAGTAACTAAAAGTGTTTAAAAGAGAATTAGTCTATGTTTTCTTTAAGTTTATATTAAAGCTTATGTAAAAAAGAAAGTAGGTCTTTTTATTTTTTATTAAATAGTAAGGGATTAAAGAGTTAGTTAGATTTTATTACTAAGTTAAAAAAGTTACAGGTTATAAGTAGTGTTAAGTAGAAAAAAGTTAAGCTATTTTCTAACTTCTAAGTAAGCTTTAAGGCTAGTAAGTTCTTAATTCCTACTACTATAACAAAAGTTAAGGCAGAAATAGACTATTTAATAACATAAAGCTATTTTTTAAAGTTTTTTTAAAAAGCTTTAAAGCTTATAACATAGCAGCTTTCTTATAAAGTAAGTGCTTTTTAAAAAGCTTTTTAGCTTACTCTAATAGCTTAAAGTTATACAAGTACTAAGCTTATTAAATTAGATTTAAAGGCTATTCTTAGCTAGAGTTTTAACATAATGTAATGTTATAATTATGCATAAGTAAGGTTATAGAGCTTTATAGAGGTCTAGTTTAATTACTATGTAAAGTATTATAGTAGGTACAAGATATTATGTAAGAAACAGGAAAGTTTAGAAGAAAATTAGTAATTAAATACATAGCTTAGATATCTAAGCGCTTTAGGTATAAATTAAGCCTGTTTTAGGTTTAGTTAGTGTTAAGGCAGTTTATGCTTAAGTTTATGTCTGTGTTGTGTTGTGTTTATGTCAGACGTGCACTAATAATACTCTAGTACGCGTCTAATACAGTTATGTCTGGGATCTGGGGAGGATACCGTGACAGTTTAAAATAACCTTAGATTATTACAGTAGTCTTTGTAGGCTATTATGTAGCATTGCTAATTATTAAGGTTTAGGTTAGAGACTATAAGGTTAGGACTAAGCTAGGTGCTGCCTGTATGAAACTTTGCGACCTTAGGCCTCTGTAGCATAGTGTTAACTAGGAGATTTTCTAGTAAGAGGTCTAGATTAATATACTCCTAGACATATTCTCTAGTTGCTTGTGTCTTAATGCAACTAAACTAGGGCTGCTAGTTGCTCTTTTTAGTAAGCTATATAAAGGCATTAATGTTTAAAGTTATCTTTCTGTGTGTTAATAGAGTAGGACAAAATAGTTGTTGTTTAGTTAATTAGGCTTAGCTAGTAAGCAATCTGTGATTGGTATGTTTTGGAATGGACAGAAGGTTATTGTCTAGTTAATTAGGCTTAGTTAGTGAGCAATCTGTGATCAATATGTTTTAAAATAGACAAAAGGTTATTATCTAGTTAATTAGGCTTAAATAGTAAGCAATCTGTAATTAATATGTTTTAGAATAGACAGAAGGTTATTGTCTAGTTAATTAGGCTTAAGTAGTAAGCAATCTGTGATTAATATGTTTTAGTATAGACAGAGGGTTATCGTCTGTTTAATCAGGCTTAGCTGGTGAGCAATCTGTGATCAATATGTGTAGAATAGACAGAAGGTTATTGTCTAGTTAATTAGGCTTAGTTAGTAAGCAATCTGTAATTAATATGTGTTAAGGTTTGCAGGGCCCTAAAGCTAGATGCAAAAGCTAACTGTGCAGTGGTAACTAGAGGACTAGTTAGGAGCGCGACTCTAGGCTTATAACTCTTACATGAGCTAAGGAGGGGACATATGGCAAACGACTTGACAAGGGAGCGAGATCCAAACAAGGTGGAATGAGTGTATTGTAAGGTCTGAGGAGCTCGATAGAGCTCTAAGCTGACTATATACTGTACGAGAT